TCAGCTGTAGGGTACCTACTCTAGCAATTAGCAGCAACTACCTCACATACCCTCGATAGCTACGTAGCGAAGTCAACTTCATCTAATTCTAAAATAATATTGTGATAAGTTTTCTAACTGCTATCTAACTTAGTATACACCATTCGCTACCTCATAAGTATCACTTCTACATTACCACTCCTAACATGTAGCAACGGCTACTTTATATGACAACATGCTACCTTACCATTGCTATCTAATCTGACAAAATGCTACCTTAGCTTGCCAAACGTAGCAACGGCTACCTAACTTGATAAATACCACTCACTGTGACTGACACGAACAAAAAAATAGTGTAGGCCTACTACAAACCAAAAAAAAACAACAAATAAACCGGGAGTGATCTCCCCTAAACTTTCTCGAATATTCTTATATAAAACAACAGGGGATGGGAACTCGGGCTATAGACATGATTTTTAATTCATTTTAAAGACTTAAAGTTTTAAAAATAGAATAAAATCTCGTAGACAAAATAATTGCACACCTATTGAACGCCAAATAAAAAAGTGCATAATAGTGCGCAATATTATTAGTACTTTAAAAATTTTCATTAGGTTTTTGAGAAATCGGAAGTAGCGTAAATTACTACTTCCGTTCAACGGAAATTACTCAAAATTTGAGAGAAGGTAGAGAATTAGATCTTTTACTTACGTGTGAAATTTCATTTATCTATCTGAAATAGTACTCAAGTTATAGGCTTTTGAAAAATTCAAAGTAGAAAAAGTACCACTTCCGGTTATCGGAAATCGCTCAAAAGTTGATACGGATCTACGATTTCGATAAAATACTTATATATGAAATTTCATTAACCTAGCTGTAACGGTACTCAAGTTATCGTGTTTACACACGGACACACACACACACAGACACACAGACATACGGACAGAATTGCAAAGCCCAGTTTTTCAGAATGGATTACGCATAAAACCTCTTAATTTTGATAAATCTGGATTGATAATTTTTGCCCGATTAAAATAAGTCCTCTGTACTTCGGATGTGATGAAGGACTGAGGTGTAATACGGTGAAAATTGTTAAAATTTCAAGTGATTTTTGTGCACGATTACAATACTTTCTCTATACTTCGTATATACGAGAAAGTAAAAACAAAACGACAACGTTAACAATTGATACACTGTTATAATAAATATCAACATATTGCTAACCCAGCTGATCCCATAAAACATAATATAAATCGTCTCTGTACTACTATATCCACTGGGTACTTAAAAGTACTTTGCGTGAACTACGGTTTTATTTTTCCGCGTTGTTGACCGGTTGCGACCCGCAGGCCGGCCGACACCAAACACACCGATTTACTGGACGAGTAGAGTCACGGCTAAATACAACTTTTCTACTGTATCCAGTTCCTGCTTACATAGAAAACAAAGGAAATATTGAATGTCGAAATAATTGTGAAAGCTAATAAAATTTCTGAAATTTTAAAAAAAAAAATGTTATAAAAATGGTCAGGTTCAAAGACAATCCGCCACAGCATTTTCGTTTTTTTTTTTCGCTTTTTTTTATACAGTTACGGTGATGAAAGAAGTGGTTTAAAAAAAAAGTGTTTTCGGCATGTGGAAAGCAAATGTGAAGACTTTTTAAAAAAATGAATGTGATTGATGAAGGTTTTGAAAAAACCCACTTAAATGAATGTCAGAGTTTGTATTTTTAATTGTCATTCTCGTCTGAATATGTCTTTTCATTTATTGAATAAAGTTACGTTTTAAAAGCCTAATTTGTACCCCACAAATTGTAAGCGCAAGCGCTCAACTTTTGTGCTCTGTAAAATTCCTACTACCCTTCTTCCCCCACCCCCTCACAGCACTTCCTGTATGGTCTTCGTAACACCCCTAACATAACGCCTTCACAAATTGACGCCCCCCTTCCCACTCCTCCATACATTTCCTTAACGGTGTTGTCACTAACATCACATGTACCCCCCCCCCCATACATTCAGCCTGCTGGCCATTACGTAACGTCACATGTAGACGCCCCACTTCTCTGTTTGTGTAGGCTATAACTCCCCCCCCCCCACACACACACCACCTCCACAATAAAATGGGTGGCATCTGTCTTTTAAAGGCTAATAACCCAGAAACACATCACTAGACGGTGCCCACGTCAACCTTGACCCTGGTCTCGAATATCTCATTAGCATGCCCTCGCTGCTCCACAACAATGCACGACTCGTCCACCTGACCAGATCACGTGACTCCCTGTGCCACTGGAGGGCCAGGTAAGGTTGTCAGTAGATTCTGTAGATGCTGGTGGATGTGGCATCCCAAGCTTGCTCTAGCACTGACATAAAACATGTAGCCCTAAATGCTAACACCCAGACATACCACAGTCTTTATATAAAACATGTAGCCCTAAATGCTAACACCCAGACATACCACAGTCCTTACATAAAACATGTAGCCCTTACACCCAGACATACCCCAGCCCTTACATAAAACATGTTGCCCTAAATGCTGACACCCAGACATACACCAGTCCTTATATAAAACATGTAGCCCTAAATGGATGGCTCACGTGAACGACATATATGACTTAATTGTATTAACAAAATCTAAGAGACAAATAGGTTTAGCGATTTCTACGGGTAAATTGTATGAAGAATTCTGAGTAAATTGTATGAACGAAGTCTATGAGTAAATTGTCTGACAGAATTCTAGAAGTAAGTTGTGTCAACGAATCATAACTCTTTGATTTCAGCATAATAATATGTCTGCCTCTATAACTTGATTAACTGAGATCAAACTGGGCTATACATCACGTGTGTTTGCTTACAGTTCTATTTTTAGCCCCAGCACCATGACATCAACCGACCCCTAATGTTGACCCAGACGAAACCTGACCCACGTGACGTCATTCTCTCCTCAGTTCATTGGTTGCTGACCGGGTTCAAATATAGAATCATCTCGTGCTTACACTTACAAGCACCGGTCATTACATAGACGTGCTTACACGTACACGCAAGGAACATAACGGGGTAGAGATCAGAAAAGAAAAAAAATAGAAATGGGACGTCTAGACAGTGAATATCAAATTGTGTTATTTGCCGCGACATTTCGAGATGAATTCGTTGGTAAGATTAACTTTCTTCTAGCGAACTCTGTCGAAGAGAAGATTGTATTGAGCATTACGTCAGCAAGGTTGAGGTCAGATTTACAAGATCTAATAACTGGGATTGACGCAAAATGTCTGAAATAAAATCATCGCGCTGTAAAGAAGAAAAACAATTGACTACACTTACTAATTAAATTTAAGATTTATATAAGGGGGGAGGGGAGAGAGGGAGTCAGGGCTAAAAGTTTTATAATCGCGTTTGTGTTTATTTGATCACCATAGTCAGATCTGGTAGAATAAAATAATAGATTACAACTTATATGCCATTGTTCTAACATTTCACAACATCAGTTTTTAAGTTTGTAAATAACTATTGTTAAATTAAGGTTTTAAAAGTTGTATTTTCGTCAATCAATTTCATTTTCAGACTATATTTCAATCAAAGTCAGCTTTAAAAAAATGTGTAATACGCTAAAGAGGATGAGAGCAACGACTGATTAATCAACACAAAACATAATGACCATTGCTATTCGAGTTAATCAAGTCTCTACTCGACCTAAATCACAGTCCCAGGTGTTCTATACGCGTCAGTTTGTGGCGTTAAGCCCTTTGTTTTGGTTTACTGTTGTTGTGTGTGTGTGTGTGTGTGTGTGTGTGTGTGCGTGTGTGTGTGTGTGTGTGTCGACCACCTAGCTAGAACTTCCGGACTCTAATGCCAAACTACTCGCGCTGACACGCTTATGGAGATGGGTTTAAGGAGATTAGGATAACGATTTACAAGTTACAGGAGATAGAGGTTTGGATTACCGTGATGAGTTCGTAAAGGTAACTGATGGACGGTAGAGAGCAGGTGAGAAAGGTGGTTGGGTGCAGGAAAAGTTGGAGTGTCGGGGTGTCAGGGTGTCGGGGTGTCGAACTGGGTGACTAGCGGTACAATGTGAACAGCTGTGGAATGTGGCGGTGTGAGCAAGACAGGGGAGAGGAAATAAACAAAGGGTAAATATAGAAGGTGGGGAATGGGTGCTGAGTTCGAGTCTAGGGACACAGGTCTGAATGGAAAGAGAAAGTGGGAAATGGATGCTGAGTTCGAGTCTAGGGACACAGGTCTGAATGGAAAGAGAAAGTGGGAAATGGGTGCTGAGTTCGAGTCTAGGGGCACAGGTCTGAATGGAAAGAGAAAGTGGGTAATGGGTGCTGAGTTCGAGTCTAGGAACACAGGTCTGAATGGAAAGAGAAAGTGGGGAATGGGTGGTGAGTTCGAGTCTAGGTACAGAGGTCTGAATGGAAAGAGAAAGTGGGAAATGGGTGCTGAGTTCGAGTCTAGGAACACAGGTCTGAATGGAAAGAGAAAGTGGGGAATGGGTGGTGAGTTCGAGTTTAAGGACACAGGTCTGAATGGAAAGAGAAAGTGGGAAATGGGTGGTGGGTAAAATGAATTCGGACAAAGGTCTAAATGAAAAGACATGGTGGAAAAATTAGAGATGGTACTCATTCATGGTACTAGTTGTTTTTTCAGGAATGGTAGTTGGTCTTATATTAGGGATGATACTAGTTCTTTTATCAGGGATGGTAGTAGTTCATATGTCAGGGATGATATTAGTTCTTACATTAGGGATGGTACTAGTTCTTGTATCAGTGATGGTAGTAGTTGTTATATCAGGGATGTTACTATTGCAATATTATTGCCATTCTGAAGTAACAAGTAGTACATTAAAACTACTAAAACCTTAATATACCGTACCATCTTACCTGATACACCGCCAAATATTGTTAACAATCATGTTACATTTTTTTGGCAATACTACATTTCATTTTATACATGTAGTTACGACACTGTATTTACTGTTGTAAATGTACCAGTCCGATCTAAAATAACAAACAATGCCCTTACCTTGCTTAACATCTGGGAATTGATATCTGATGGAGGCTGCCTCACCCCCGTTGAGCATTACAAGAAGAAGACACAAAGCCACATAGTACAAGTGTTGTTTAACATATCCACAGCCATGGATTAATCCTCGTATATCCAACGGTATTGATGGATTAACGTTAATCCTAGAGGCATCACGAATTCTTTGAACACAGAACAACCGATGGTTCTTTGATTCTGTTTTGTCATTGTTTTCATGTAAATCGCTGTTAGGTTCGATCATGGTGTGGGCATGGTGTAGAGACAGCTGGTCACCTTCTGCCCGGGGGTGAGGCTGGGGTGACCCTAACAGACCTATCCTGGCCCGGGGCCACATCACTGTATCCGTCGTGCCGTAGTTCCTCTCTCTATCCCGTGCACCGCATGGGGTTCTGAGGAATCAACCATGCAGAGATGAACGTATGAATGAATACACTTGCCAGCAAACGGAGAGGGGGGGGGAGAAAAAGTAATATTTTAAAACTTCAACCAACCACACACACCGTCCTACCTCCCCCCCCCCTCCCCCACGCCGCTCTAGCTCTCCGCTTCATAAGATTTTTCTGAATGAAGATTTGAAGGACTGAATCAATGACGTGGGGGACCAGGACGAAGGTGAAATACACGGGCAAGAACGAGGGGGTTGACGGTATTGAATTTAATAAGCGTATCTCCACACGTCCTACGACATTTGGGGAGGGGGGGTATGTGGTGGTGTAGACGGTATGGATAGGTTGAGGGGGGGGGGGGGGGTGACGCGTGGGGTAAATATGACGAGGGGTGCCTTTAGCGAGGGGTGGAGAAAAATCGCTTTTTTATTTTATTTTTTTTTATAAAAAGATCTGGTTAAATTCAACAACACTTTTTTTTTCCTGCTAGGGTTTTAACTAGGACAACTGGATGATTCATGAAGGGTAATAAAAAACATATATAAGGCGTCACTTGTCACAATCATTCTCTTAGGGGAGGGCGGGTAAACGAGGGGGGGGGGGGATAGTCTACATTAAACCTGCCAATTTTGCTCTGCCGCAAGCACCTAATCACACACATGTTTAGGCCAAACCACACACACCTTTAACCAAACAATCACATAATCTATTAAACCTCAAACAACATACACGTCTAACAGAAACCGCACACTTTTTTAAAACCCAAACCACACACACACACTCTTACTCACACAAATGGTCTACACAATCAACACTTAAGCAGCTCAGTTGCTGCTCTATGTAGGTTGATTTAAACTAGATTTCAAATAGAATTAAAGGATATTACTTATTTTAAAACATAAAATGTACAGAATATGTCGTTAAAACAGATTTAGGTTCATTGTCAACCAGCATGATATTCTTAGGTATATATATTCCTGAATTCGATTCTGGGTTCAAGTCAGTACACCGTCCCTGATTCCGCCCAGATTTGATGGGTACCTAACTCACGACAGGTAAAGTAAAAGCGGCTGGGTGAAGTGCTGACAACACCTTCACTTCATATGCTCAAGAAACATATGAACTCTACTTCATCTGCCCAATCGATGGCTAGTTCTATAGAGGTTCATATATATATATATATATATATATATATATATATATATATATATATATATATATATATATATATATATATATATATATATGATATTTCGTGTATGAATGCGTCTTTAAACATGCCAATATTTCCCGATGTCAGACCGGCTAAAGACATGTTTGAGTTGGGTAACCGAAGTTTTGCTTCAAATGGAGATTAGTTCTCGCAGATACGACAGAGCTGGTATTGGAATATTAAAAAAAAATGTACACCCCCCAGTCACCCCCACCCCGTCAGGTAACAGTTCTCTACAGCACCTTAGAGTGCTATCTCCTAATGCTTGTCTTGTGTGTTTGTGTTCGGCAGATGAATCGTTGGATGATCTCACTATCAGAGGGCTTAAAGCGGCCCGGTGTGGCCCGTTTAGACACACACACACACACAAACAAACAATTCATACCCGTACGACGAGAGGGGGGAGGGGGTGGGGGGTTTAGCCCGTCATAACTTTTGATGGCAGCGGCGGTATCCAGACCGAGGTACGGTTTTGTTTGGGGTCAGGGGTTCTAATTTTGTGAGGGTACGGGTACACATTCAGGTTTCTATGCTGGAGCTTGTAGCCACGTGATGTGGGGTAAAGATGAGGTAGGGGCAGGTAGGGAGGAGGGCAGGTGTAGGGATACACCTAACATAGGTGCAGTGATACACCTAACATTTTAGGGTACTCAAGGTTCGACTAGAGTGGGGTTGGTGAAGGAACAAGTGGTGGACCGTGGATAGACTGTGCTGACTCTGATGATCTTGTAGGAGGTGTAAGCAATATATGTAGAATGATGAACAGCCATTTTATCGTTTAAGGTCCGGTAAGTCTAGGGTACAAGTCTAGGGTACGTTTAGGCTACAAGTCTAGGGTACAAGTCTAGGGTACAAGTCTAGGGTACAAGTTTAGGGTACAAGTCTACAGTTCTAAGGTACAAGTCTAGGGTACAGTTCTAGGGTACAAGTCTAGGGTACAAGTCTAGGATACGTTTAGGGTACAAGTCTAGGGTACAAGTCTAGGGTACAAGTCTAGGGTACGTTTAGGGTACAAATCTAGGGTACAAGTCTAGGGTACAAGTCTAGGATACGTTTAGGGTACAAGTCTAGGGTACAGTTCTAGGGTACAAGTCTAGGGTACGTCTAGGGTACAAGTCTAGGGTACAAGTCTAGGGTACGTCTAGGGTACAAGTCTAGGGTACAAGTCTAGGGTACAAGTCTAGGGTACAAGTCTAGGGTACAAGTCTCGGGTACAAGTCTAGGGTACAAGTCTAGAAAACGTTTAGGGTACAAGTCTAGGGTACGTTTAGAGTACATGTCTAGGGTAGTCTAGGGTACAAGTCTAGGGTACAAGACTAGGGTACAAGTCTAGGGTACGTTTAGGGTACAAATCTAGGGTACAAGTCTAGGGTACAAGTCTAGGATACAAGTCTAGGGTACAAGTCTAGGGTACAAGTCTAGGGTACAAGTCTAGGGTACAAGTCTAGGGTACGTTTAGGGTACAAGTCTAGGGTACAGTTCTAGGGTACAAGTCTAGGGTACGTCTAGGGTACAAGTCTAGGGTACAAGTCTAGGGTACGTCTAGGGTACAAGTCTAGGGTACAAGTCTAGGGTACAAGTCTAGGGTACAAGTCTAGGGTACAAGTCTAGGGTACAAGTCTAGGGTACAAGTCTAGGGTACGTTTAGGGTACAAATCTAGGGTACAAGTCTAGGGTACAAGTCTAGGATACGTTTAGGGTACAAGTCTAGGGTACAGTTCTAGGGTACAAGTCTAGGGTACGTCTAGGGTACAAGTCTAGGGTACAAGTCTAGGGTACGTCTAGGGTACAAGTCTAGGGTACAAGTCTAGTGTACAAGTCTAGGGTACAAGTCTAGGGTACAAGTCTAGGGTACAAGTCTAGGGTACAAGTCTAGAAAACGTTTAGGGTACAAGTCTAGGGTACGTTTAGAGTACATGTCTAGGGTAGTCTAGGGTACAAGTCTAGGGTACAAGACTAGGGTACAAGTCTAGGGTACAAGTCTAGGGTACAAGTCTAGGGTACAAGTCTAGGGTACAAGTCTAGGGTACAAGTCTAAGGTCCAAGTCTAGGGTACAACCACAATACAGCGAACTTGCCAGACAACTTAAGGTGCAGGAAGTTTAACGATATAGTGTAGTTAGGGTGTACAGTATGTGTGTACAATCGGTGTGTAATGCAGAGGCGTAGCTAGGGGGGGGGGGGGGGCGGGGGTGGGGGCGGCCGCCCCGGGCGCCGACCCTATGGGGGCGCCAAAAGGGGTGGGAAAAAATTTTTAAAGCTGATTTTATGCTGCAGTTTTGAATTATAAACTGTCTTAGTTAAGAAATGTAATGGCTACACGCATTTACATACTGATTTAACTGTTTTCTATCTTGATTTCTTAATGTAAAACATATACTCTTAAGAAACAGTGACCGGCAAAACCGCTTTGAAGCTTTTCCTAGATGGGGGGGGGGGCGCTTTTTCGAGACTTAAAACGGAAGAATTTACACTAGATTGTTGAGTCGATAAACGTTACCACTATTAAAAGAAACCAATTGTATTAAAACGTATTGTACGATTGTTGAACTGTAAAATACGTTAGTGACTTTTATCAAGATGGTGCAGGGGGGCGCTTTTAGGCTAAATAAAATAGCAAAATTACACAGGATTCTGAGTAAACAACCTTTAGCTCTCAGAAAGAAACGAATTGTACTGTGCATTGTATAATTGTGTAACATTTTTAAAAAAAAGTTAGTTACGTTAAAAACCGCTCTACAAACTTTGTCCAAGATGGTTGTGATGAGTGTGTGAGGGGGTGGGGGGGGGGGGCGCTTTTTTCGCTAACAAAAATCGCAAGTATTTGTACTGGATTGGTGAGTAGATAACTCTCTTAACACTTAGTAAAGAAACCAAGTGTATTAACGCGTAATGTACAATTTCAATAGCCAGTTTTGTTAAAAAAAAAGACGCGACTAGTTCTTTGTAAGATTCTTACGATTCTCTCAACTTCAACGTGAGAGATCAGATACTTTTGATCAGTGTTTCTTCCAGACTTTTTTCTCCGGGGGGGGGGGCACTTGAAATCTTCGGGGGGAGGGGGGAGGCGGTAAACTTTCTTCGGGGGGGGGGGGGCGGACACTGCTAAAAGTATATATTTTCTATATATAAATTATATAAATTTCATTTCGTTCGGGGGGGCGTAAAAATTTTTCCGGGGGGCTTCGCCCCCCCCCCCCCCCCCGAAAAGATGCCTGGAAGAAACTGTGTGCGAGAAGGCAGGGCAAATCTGCGAAATCCAAGACTACGAGCTGTTAACATCCGTTGGATTCCAGTTTGTTATCTCTAGCTTGTTTTGTCATACCATCAACCAATCAACGAAATACCCATGTCGTATTCCAATGTGAACAATAAATATTTCTGATAACTTCTTCTTGTATGTCACTTGTGTGTCCTTACTCTAACAAACTTCGAATCCAACTATGTACCATATCACAACAGAGATCGTTCAAAACTAGAACATAAAAGGCTGGTCTAAACATATTAGCGTTAGCTACAAACTACCCTCTAACACAGATCAGGCTTATTTTTTTTTTACTGACATTACTAATCTTTCGCAAAAAAAGTTAAACGCATCTTAATGGGAATTAAATTGTCGTAAAGTTTTAAGGAATGAAAATCATACAATGTAATTATTAAACCTTGTCCGGACTGTAGCATACACGCTTACACACACGCTTACACACACAAATACACTCTTACCCACACACAAGCTTATATATAAACACACTATCACACACACATAATTATATACACACACACACATATA